TGCTCTGGTCCATGGGGTCACGAAGAGTCAGACACAACTTAACAACTAAACAACAGCAAGTTTTCTGAACAAAGTAAAACAAAAAACAACCTAGGATGCCAATTCAGCCAAAGCTCTAATGATTCTAATTTAATCATTCTTTGACAGAGGCCACTATATTCAGTGGCAGAAAATCAACTTCGTAAATATTTTCATGCTGGAATTCTCTCTGTCTTTTGATACCAGGAATTAGTACTTACTTTCACATGACTCTTCAGTGCTTCATGAAGGAGGAAGCCTACTTGCACAGCATCTTCCTTCATATCAGTGATAAGACAAATTTGTTGTGATACAGTGTCTAATTAATAAAATGTAAAAACAAGAAACAGATTTATTATCGCAATCATTTTTCTAGTAGTTCCTAGTGTACATGCATCGTAGAGAATTTTGGTTCACATGAAAAGACAGCATTTTCTACATTTTCCAAAAGTAAAATTTTACAAGAAGGATCCAGTCAATAAGCACAGATAATATCCCTTGGCAACCCCATAACTCCATCTCAACCTAAGGATTGCTCACATTGTTTTCAGATTTAGCTTCCTCACACTGCTACTACAATCGTACTTGAATCTTAGGCTGGGTTCTGTTTACAGCGAGACACAGCTCCATAATCCATCTCATGCGTGGATTGCTTTGCTGTGTAGTTTTCTTTGCTCTGAGGTCAAAATCAGATTCCAAATTCCAAGTGAGAGCTGCAAAAATATTCCACCAATCAGGATGTCTTGATTCCAACTCTTTTTCCTATTACAGATGTAGCTGAACTAGACTGTGGAATATTTCACATCTTCCACTTTAAGGGACAGATGGAAAAAGTATCAGGTTGTTATAAGTCTGTGCATGATTAAATACCACAGGGTTTTGATCTACATGATTCTATTAAATGTATGATTTTATAGGTACTTACTTTGTAAAATACGGTATTTGTATATTATAGAGTACAGCAATTATCACTTAGTAATTTTTCTTTATTTATAGAAGCAGGAGATATTCTAATTGTTAATACGGGGGCTAATGAGACTTGATATCTTTAGCATCATAAAATGGGACATTAATTTCTATGCATCCCAAGTTAAAACAAAATGATATTTGAACACCTGCATTCTATTCTTGTTTTGTCAAAACACAGCAACAGAGACAGGACAGGGATAAGAGTCAAATGACAGTCATGTAAAGGAGTGCATTTGTTCAAATATAAAATCACTCAGCCACCCTATAAGGGGTAGCAAGTCCAAGCAGGGCACAAAGTTATTTACTGCTTAAGGGCAGACCTGCTTTGAAGATATCAGTTAGCACCTGACTTTTTAAAGTTTGCTACTATTCAGAAGTCAGAATTCAGGGTAATATAAGTGAAAAAATTTCAGCAATCAAACAAGTGTGCAAATCAGAGCTAGAGTTCTGAAAAATACATTCATTCTTCACTTTTTTGAATGCATATTTAAAGATATACCTAAAAGGCAAACTGAAACTTTAAGGTTAACATGTTTCAACTAGAGGTTCAAAGATATACATGCCCTGGGGGATACGTCCTTAGAGAGATTTTTTTTCCAGGATGTTTTTATACTACCTAGGTTCTAGCTACCTTTCTCAATGAGTCATCCTAACTGCAGGATGAGGTTTCCATATTTGCAGACTAATAATATGAAAAGGAAAAAAGGCAGACATGCGCCACATTGTCTGTACATCCTGCAAGTTCCTACCTGTTTCATTTATAGAGCATTACAATCACTTAATATTAAATAGGTGTTCAATTTTTTCAACAACATTATTTGTTTGAGAAAGACTTTAAAAAGTATTAAATGCATCATTATATACTAGAAAAGCATTTTCTGAACATAGTCATATGGTTTACATATTGCAATCACATTGCTTAAAATATGAATGATGATCATGTTTTTCTTACCAACATCCGTGCTCTGTTAGCAGAATGGAATGTGTCCTGTATCAATAACTCATTTTGCCTTCAGCAGAAAGCTTTACTTGAGCTGTTCAACAGTATTTAAATTACAGCAGCAGGATTACATTTGTAATAAAGACTACCAACTACTGCTCACAAAATTGAAATAAAATGATACACTGATTACAATTATTTGTATAGGTCATGTATTTTTATTGTGAGTTGATTGATCACATCAAGAAATAACATATGTAAGTTAATGCTTAATGTATGTATGTATGTATGTATGTATGTATGTATGTATGTATGTATGTATGTATGTATGTATGTATGTATGTATGTANATGTATGTATGTATGTATGTATGTATGTATGTATGTATGTATGTATGTATGTATGTATGTATGTATGTATGTATGTATGTATGTATGTATGTATGTATGTATGTACGTTAAGATTTCTACTTTAAGGGACAGATGGAAAAAATATCAGGTTGTTATAAGTCTGTGCATGATTAAATACCACAGGGTTTTGATCTACATGATTCTATTAAATGTATGATTTTATAGGTACTTACTTTGTAAAATACGGTATTTGTATATTATAGAGTACAGCAATTATCACTTAGTAATTTTTCTTTATTTATAGAAGCAGGAGATATTCTAATTGTTAATACGGGGGCTAATGAGACTTGATATCTTAACATGGATTAAGAAACAAAAACACTTTATGACATTCCACTATTTGAACATAGTGTACTATCCAATAATACTTGGTGGGGGTGAGAGAAAAAGGCAAAATAGAAAATGAAAAACATATGTCTGGATATCCAGGTGTGTCTGGATATTTTCAGTTTTTGCTAAGGTGACTAGTAGAACATTTGCCAAGAAATGCACTGACAACGGGGGGTGGGGGTGGAGAGAGAATCAGTATTGTTTTAGAATGGTTTGTTTATGTAAATTAAATTCTGCTTTTTTAGTCTTGGCATTTTTAGCTGATTTAATAGCTAGTGAGCATAAGCTTGTACAGCAACTGTGGGTGGGCCCAACATGTCTGCACAACAATGTTGCATTGTTGAGAGAATATGCCCCTATCCCTGCGTAAACATGTAGTGGTTTTAGCTTATTGCAACCAGCTCTGTATTTGTTATTTGTAAAGGAGTCTTTTATAGATGTATTCTCCAGATTTAAACAATTACAGTTGCTCAGATACCATTTCTCAGTGCACCAGAAATTACAGTTTAGTATGAATTTTAAGTGGATATATAAAGATTTAGGAGTCGGGATCTAATTGTGTGTGTAATTTGCTAAAAAGAACAAATGCACCTTGGTGCTCAAATCTGCATCCATATACTAATTTCATCAATACCGATACTGAAAGTCCAGAACAGCAGTCATAAACCTTAAATTGATTGTTTGAATAATAAGGTTCAAGTCTCAAACCTGCTATGAAACTCACCAATGACCTTAGAACAGTCATGCTATCTCAGCTTAACCTACTTATCTCTGCCTTATCTCTGCATTTTGAGAATAAACCACTTTGAATTCACTGGAAAAGCGTGAGATAATAAAGAATGCATAATTAATAAAAAGATTCTAGCACAACAAGAACTCAAGGGGACCATACTGTATCCACTAATGGCTTCTGGCACTGACTTCCCTCTGTATGGAAAAAATGTGCATTAATCTCTAATGCTGTCCTATTCTTGCTGCACAGCTTTACTTCCACGAACACACAACAATATTTTATTTATTTATTTATTTATTTATTGGACTTATATACCGCCCCATAGCGCTACAAGCACTCTCCGGGCGGTTTACAATTTTTTTTATTACACAGGCTACACATTGCCCCCCCCCCCAGCAAGCTGGGTACTCATTTTACCGACCTCGGAAGGATGGAAGGCTGAGTCAACCTTGAGCCGGCTACCTGGGATTTGAACCCCAGGTCGTGAGCACAGTTTTAGCTGCAGTACAGCGTTTTTAACCACTGCGCCACGAGGCTCTTAATATGAAACTGGACTCTGTTTATTAACAGATTTTTTCTGTTGAATCCAGATTTATGTTGTGCTGTGTTTGTACACACAGAGGCCAGAGCATTGATGCAAATGAATGACATTACTCAGACTTCTCTGAACACCTTGAAGACATTTGCACCTCTTTACATTTTATCATTCAATTTCAATCAATAATATTTAAATGGCTTGCATATGAATCTGTGATTTCAGCATAGGATTATATAAATTTGCAGACATGAGGACAGATACACACCCTTAATTAAAGAATCAGCTGCATACAGATCCCGTTTGTAGGTCACCTAGAAGACAGATATATATTTGATTAGGTTTTACAGAAGAAAAAATTGTAGAGGAATCCTGGTGAGGCCCTGGCCAAGGGCAATTCTTCACAGTGAACTACTAGAAACAGATGATATTGTTAATTTCTTAACTATACATATTAATGTCATGAGAATTAATGTGATGAGAAAAAATGCTAACAAGCCCTAAGTTCTGACAGTTCTGTATTTGTATTAAGCCAGAATCAATTTTAATACATCATTTTTGACCTTGAAATAATGGTTACATTTGGATTAACCTTAAATCTTCATCCCATTCCTTCTGAAACCATTTACCATTATTCTGCTTCAATGAAACAGTCAATTTATTATTATATTTTTTCATATCTAGGCATTCTAACCTACTATGACAATTATGTAACATGCCATACTCTAGTAAAGCCAGATCTTTCATTTTAGTAACAGACATGCATTCAGAAATTATAATCCTTTGACTCTGTGATTGCAGTTCTCATCTCCAAAATATCTGTGCTGTTGCTAACCTGGAATCTTTCTGGATTAATAAAACAGGTCAATGGAAGTATGACTCCCCAAAATTACAAAATGGGATACAAACACCTAGGTACACCAGAAATTCATATTAGCAAATTAAACCCTTTCTGTTTCCAAAAATAATATTTCCTTTAGGCAAATAACAAAAAGGAAGTAGAAGCTCTTCAAAAATTTAGGTCAGCAGGAAAAGAAGAAAACAAAAAATGGAATGTTTGGAACACAGGGAGAGATAAGAGGCCCTACATCAGAGCCCCTTTAAAAAAATTGCTATTTTTGCTTGCCTTTCATATGATTCATGTCATGGAATCTTGCTAAACCTTTTCCAATGTGTTTGTAAGTCTTTTTCAACAAGGAAGGTTTGGGTTTGTTTGTTTGTTTTGGGGGGGGATCAAAAATCTGAATTAGGTTTCCCCAGATTGCAATCAATGTATTAAAGGGAAAGAAGATGTACACATGAATTTTGGGGACATTACCTTTCTATATTTTAGAATTTTGTAACCTACTGTACCTACCATATAGTAACTCATAATTTTATTTGTCATTTGGTATCAACACTGAAACATACCAAGAGACATACCTAAAGTGTAATGTGCATATAATAGATGCCACCACCACCACCCCAATTTTATTTTCTTTGTTTCATAATGTTTTGTTTTTTGCACCCATTCTTCAACTTACCGTATTTTTCGCTCCATAAGACGCACAGACTTTCCACCCCCCTGTTTTGTGGGGGAAAAGTGCGTCTTATGGTGCGAAAAATACGGTAATCTAAAAGTTTCCATTTGGGGATTTAGGTTACTACTGCTTAAAGGTCCGCCTTGTTTTTTTTTAAGCATCTAAAGCAGGCATGTCCAACCTGCGGCCCGAGGGCCGCATGCGGCCCAAGTCGGCTCATAATGCGGCCCAGTGCAATTTTTTATTTTTAAAGAAATTCCAAAGTTTGAAGTTACACTGCCGGTGCTTGCGGCCGGAATGCGGCTGGGGCACGTCACAACGGTAGGGGGGGGAGAGAGGGAAGGTAGGAAGGAGCAGGAGGGGAGGGGAGAGGGGGGCTGCGTGACTGCATTGCGCCATCCCTGTCAATAGGTGGACCTCCTCCCGGCCCCATAAAGCCACCGGAGTCAAAGCTGGCAGCCTCTGCTGTCTGAGATCGCAGCTGCCGGTAAGCGCGCTTGGAGCGGGGCTGTGGAGGATGGCTATGGCTGCCCCCCCATGCGGCCGAAACCAAATTTATGTGCGGCCCAAACCAAATTTTCATCTTCTAATGTCCAGGGAGGGTGAAAGGTTGGACACCCTGATCTAAAGAAATCTAGCTAGATCTTTCAAACATGCAGAGAATTAGTTGTCTTAAGAAAAATGAAGTAAGGCTAATGGCACAGACAGTACAGCACCTCACAAATTCTGTCATGGACATGCAGCTGGTATTGCTATAGTATCCCTTCACTCATACTTTGGGGTCAATGTTTTAAAAAAGTATGTTATTCTTGAAATCTGTTTTCAACAGATACAAAAACTATCTGGCACTTTTTTGTCTCGTTGAGGGTCGCTCTACTGAAAAAATACTTTAATAAATGAACAAATATATAATCAGCAATTTTAAGCAATGCAGGCACATAAGCTACATTTAATTGATTTTATATTGGCTCTTATTTCAAAATATTTGATTAAATCTTCTCAGTACAGGGCCATCATCATCTTGCCAAATCCTAAAACTTCTATACAGTACTGTAGACAAAAGATCACACTTACCTTCCATAAGTCAGGGGGGCCTTCAATAAGTTTGGCATTTGTTTTGCTGTATTTTAGAGCAAGATGTAAACATTCTGTTCCAAAATCCAGGTCATAGTCACTACACTGCAGGATGTGTGCAAAAAGAAGAAGATAATTGTGGAATAAATCTGTATAAAACATGGCATTGTCTATTACTAACTCTTGAATCTTCAGAAATGCATTTTGCAACTGCATACATATTGACTTTGCCCATGCCAGTTGTAGCTGCACCCTTCAGATGACTAACAGGCTTGTGACAAGTGGCTTATCAAGGTATGAGATTGGTGCCAACATTAGGCACAAAGAACTGTGTCCATAGGCCATCTGTGTCATCTCAAATGTTTTAGATGCTGTGTAGGTAGATCCTGCACCAGAAAGGAGACCTCATAATGCAACCTATTTTTGCTGCCGTACAGCTGCTGCGTCACAACACATGAATTATCCACTGACGACATCAAGCACAAATTATCAAGCACAAATCAGATATACTATACTTAAAATAACAAGCCAAATGGAAATCACTGTGACAAGGTAACATGGACTGCTCCATAAAAATGAAATGTGAAGATATTCAGCTGCAGTAAAAACAGAATCTCTATACTGTACATCTCTATTTGAATGACAGTCATGTATATTCCTTGGCATTCATGTAAGGAGACACAGAACTTTACAAAGTTACTTTTGTTTTAGACCAATGACCCTCAATCTTTGGTATCACATTCCACAAATTACTCCAGAAAACAACCTGAGTTATGACAGAAGCACACACACACAAAAAAGGTCACTTTTTCAGAAGAGGATGTGTCTCGGTTTACAGGCATTCTATTTTTATACTTTTATACTATAGGATAGTGGAGGCAAAGCAGCAGATTACAAGAAACAATGAGTACATAAAGGTACTATAATGAAGGTCACAGATGGATAATCGGTGCTAGTAATTCAGTAGGAGACACCATGCCATATTTTGATAAAGGTATGGAGACCAAAGGGAAATGAATTCTTAGTCAAGGTTACAAAAATCCTGTGTTCCAACTTGACTGTTTCTGGGCTTCATCAATAGAACCACCATCCCTGAACTGCAACTTCCAGAAGCTCTCAGCAAGCATGGTCACTAGCCATGATGACTGAAGCATTCTAGATACTGCAATCCAAAATATAATTGTTCCAAGTTCTCATTGAGGTGGAATTAGATAAAAATTGCTCTGCTTCAACGAGACCCCTGGACTAGTGTTACCACCCATCAAGCCAAATTCTGTTACGTGTCAGGAACCCAGGATTAGGGAGAAGTGGAAAAATGCATTTTGCCTTCTCAAAATGCAAGGTCCACATTATTATTCACGCTTAGTTGCCAGCATGCTATGCTTTTAAGTCATAGAATATACATGAAAAGAAAAATGCACCACACAAAAAGCCAAGCATGAACAAGAGGAAGCTATTTTATATATGATCTAGTGACTTAGATGTTAAAGAAGCTGCAGCAATTGCACGGATTTTACATTTCACAAGCTCACTAGAGCATAACATCAAGCGATATTTGAACAAATATTTTAAATTGTAGTTTAAACATTGCAAGAATTCAAACAGCTAAGGCTGAATAGTCAACAATCACTCACAAGGTATCAAATGGTTTTGTAACACACAACAGGTATCAAAACATAATAAACTTTGAGAAAGTGGGCTTTACATAACTTTGTTATATATAATAATTTAAAAAGCTTAATAAAACAGATACTTGAAAACTCGTGTTTTTCAAAAGTCAAGGAGTGAAGGCTCTGTGTGGTCATCCTGTATATATAATTATTCCATTAGTAAAGTGACCCCTTTTCTCTTTCCCAATTTTGCGTAGTCTTTAAAATTTTCCACACAATGCCCTAATTATAGAAGCTTCAAACTATATCCTGAATCCACCATTATGCCAAAGACATAATCAAGTGCAGAGCTATCCAGGATAGTCACGTTCACTCAGACCACCAATCTTGTTTCAGATTTTGAATAAATTAAAACACTGCTGAACTAAAATCTCATGAAAATTATTAATCAAAACTGTGGAAGACTTGTTTAGACTCTGCCTTCCTGCAACAAAATGAGGTGGGCAGATGGCATATTCCTCCTTCCTGCTTATGTTTTGTGGGAAGCTAGTATGAATGAGGATTGCCATGCATGGACATTTCAAGCGGATGAAATATCTATCCTTGGTTAGAAAAGTCCAAACTATTTTTTTAGCTTGCTTCCTTCTCTTTTGTGCCAGGCCAGTGTATAGTCAGAGGAAACATTTACTAAAATAGAACTTTAAAGTATGAGGAGCAATCAAGTTTGTTCATTTGCTGCCTGAGAGAAGTTTAATGTGGCTGCACACCAAAAACATGTTGTAGAATGGATGGGGGGGGGGGTAGAATTGTAAGCCAATTAATTTTTCATTATGATCAAACACAGTCTACAGTTACTTGGGAAGTTATCCTAGTTTCATGTAGAAACTGGATTAATAAGTAAAAGCCATGTCTCATTCCATTTCGGTTCTAGCTCAATGCGCTGAACTTCTTTTTAAAGAGAATCCATGGGTTTAGATAAGGAAAGAACTCTAAATCCCAAGATTCAAGAAACAAGCAGTTTTGAGTGATTACTGTGTAAGGTAGCCTAAATCAAACCATAATCTGCAAGACAGGAACTAAGCAAGTATGAGAGTACTGTTACTGCTTTGTAGACTAGATACTCAAAGGCAAATACTATAGGCAAAATAATGAGAAGGTAGTCAGAATTCTATTGCTTACATCTGCTGGCCTAAGTTAAATAGTGTAAACTGCTGTGGCAATCTGTTGTAAGATAAGAAGTTGAAGCTTGCAGTTTGTGCCTTGGTGCATGGCAAGTGCTGACTTCACTAGGGATAATTCACAACTAGAATATACCAATTTGAATGAATGGAATTTACAGAGGAATTGACTCACTAAATCCCCAATGATGCAGTGGGCTTAATCTAGTGCAATTTACTACACTAAGCAGCAGGATTTCAGCCATTGTGTGTTATGTGCTATCAAGTACAAATTTGTGTACTGTATATGGTTCTTGTGGGGCTTTCAAGGTAATTGGGATATTTAAGGAGTAATTTTACTAATTCCTCCCCCTCCCCCATTTAGTTTCCATGGCCCAGCTGCAATTCAAATCCAGGTCTACTGACCCCTAGGCCATCACTTGAATATCAAGGAACATTACCAGATCTCAATCATAAACTGAGACCAGAGGGGAATTTTTTTTAACAATTATGACTGCGGCAGAACTACACAACTCTTATGTTGATAATGAAGACATTTAAATAGTGAAATATGTTTTTTACCTTGGTTCAATCACTAATCAAATGTGAGTGCAGCCAAGAAATCAGAAGACTGAGGCTTTGAAGGGCAGAAATGAAGCAACTAGAAAAGATCAAGTGTTAAGGATGTGTCACTGGAGACCAAGACCAAGATCATCCACACTACTGTATACCTGATAACCATGTATGATTGTGAAAGTTGGACAGTAAACAAAGTTAAGAGGAAAACAATTGATTTATTTGAAATACGGTGGTGGAGGAGAGCTTTGCAGATACTCTGGACTGCCAAAAAGATATAAAATACGTAGTGGATATGTCCTAGTTTCTTTCTTCTCAGGAAACAGGCAGATTGGTTGTCTTGTAGGGTACACTGAAAGGTGAAACAGTGAGTGGTGATGATGGGAGATTATGCCAGAATTCTTACCTGATGATATGCTTGATGGATTATATCAAATAAGAAAGCCTGAGGCATTTCACTTGCTCTGTATTTGGCACGATCTAGCGAATGGTCTAAACATCCATCTGCAGAGGAAGCAATAACAGTAGAAACAAGAGGACGGACTGCTCCTGCTGCCTGGAAAACAAAAAAAAAATTCTTTTACACACAGATTTATGTGTTTACCTTAGTTAATCTTTGCTTAAAGAACAAGTCTAAACAAATTAAAGGCTTTGACTTCCACATCTATTGCTGGCCTGATCTAGAGAGATGCTGAACTCCCCATGGGATGTGCTGTACATCCTATTCCAAATTACTTCAGTGAAAGAAGTTGAGCACTATAGAAAACAATTACATCCAGACCACTGGAGATAAAATACTTGTAGTAAGCAGAAAAATTAATAAAAATGAACATTAAACCCCTTTTTCAATGGATGTGGAGAAGAAGATAAGCACAAAATGTCCATGTTTGTGAAAAATTACAGTACATATTCCAATTGTATTTAAGGATTTACTCAACATGAAGAAGAAATCTGCTTCATTACAGGAATCACATAACCTTTGTTATAGCAACTCCACTGGCTGCTGATCTGTTTCTAAGCACAATTCAAAGTGTAGTGTGTACCACTCAGAGTGGTATAAATATACCAGATGGGCGGGATATAAATCAAATCAAATCAAATCAAATCAAATCAAATCAAATCAAATCAAATCAAATCAAATCAAATCAAATCAATCAATCAATCAATCAATCAATCAATCAATAGTTTTTAACCTATATAATCCCTAAACAGCTTGGGTCCAAGCTATCTCAAGAATTGTTGATTAGCCTTCTTGGGTGTTATGATCATCAGGGAGGCCTTTCTTTCTGTCCTACCACCTTCATAGGTGTGTTTGGTAATGATAGGAAAGGGCCTTCTCTGTCGCTGCTCCCTGACTCTGAAACTCGTTCCCCCAGGAGGCTAGACTGGTCTCACCTTTGCTGTCCTTCCACAGGCAGGCAAAGACCTTTCTCTTCAGGCAGCTTTACCCGTAGTGACTGGCTGTCTGAGAGAGATTGTTGAATTGCTCTGCCTTGTTGCCTTTGGGTGCATATTTGGTGTTGACTTTGTTAATAGTTTTTTGTGTGGTATTGTTTGAATTTTTTTTCTATACTTACTCTCTTTAGCTTTTAAATATTGTCTTTTAATTATGTAAACTCCCTTGGTCCTCTTTAAGTAGAAAGATGGGGTAAAAACATTTTAAATAAATGAAATATGATGAATAAAAGAGGATGAAGAACCAGCTGAACATACAGTCAACCCTTGACTTATGAACGTTCCTACAATTTACGGTTGAGGCTCCGTTCACAAGTCAATGCCATTTTTGTGAATGGAGCCGTTCGTCCCTTTCTCCCTGCCTTTTTGCCTTCGGAGCTCTCAAAGGGCTTCCTCCGATGTCGGGGGGGGGAAGTCCTTTGAGTGCTCCAAAGGTACTGTAATTTTTTGAAATGCTGGAACGGATTAATTCCGTTCCCATGCATTTCAGTGAAAAATGGTACTTCAACTTACAAACTTTTCGAGGTACGAATGCTGGTGCAAAACAGATTAAGTTTGTAAGTCGAGGTACCACTGTAGTGGCAGAAATCCAGTTTAGTTTAATTTAAAATCTTTAGTTTAGTTTAATTAAAATTTAATTTAAATTTTCGATTTGTTTGTTCGTTCTATATTGTGCAGCCACAGACCCAAATTTAATTTAAATTTAAAACATCCTAAACCCCTTCAGGTTTCAAGAATCTCAAGAGATCCCTTTTGCCCTGTGGACAACTTTGGGAGCCTTGGGACAGCGGAAAGGAGCTTTTAATATCAGAAAAATGCTACCAGTGACCCCACAGTCTGGGTGTAACAGTCATCTAGACCAGGGGTCCCCAACCTTTTTCACCCCACGGACTGGCTGGGGAAGGCAGGGCACCCCCATGCTGGTGCGCATGCACAAATGAGCGTGCTTGCGTGCTCACTCACTCCCATGCATGAACAGCAGTGCGGTGCTTATGTGGGCGTGCGCACGCTAGTGCGCATGCACAAATGATGGTGTGGTGCTTGTGCAGGCACACGCGCTCATGTATGTGTGCGAACAGTGCAGCCATTTGCACATGCACACAAGCGAGCCATTTGCACATACGCACAAGCACCGCGCCGCTGTCCACATATGCGCATGAGCACGCGTGCAGGCACAAACAGCCTTTGCGGGGGTGAGTGCATGTGGGGGTGGGGCAGGAGATCTGTCTTTGCAGCCCGGTCTGCTCAGGCCATGGACCGGCACCAGGCCGCGGACAGGGGTTGACAACCTCTGATCTAGACAAGGTTTTGCCTACCTCATGTTCTTAAACTGCGAATTATGAGACCATCTACCAATAAGGTCCACACATTAGCTAACAACAATGAGAGGGTGCAAAATTGTGTTTTGGGGGATACAACTCCAAGAACAGCTTGTAAGACAGTAGATAAATCTAATCATACAATGCCATGATGATGTCATTTAAATTTAAATGGGTTAAAATAATTTTTTATCACTTTTATCCAAGTTATTCCTATATAATGCTCAATTGGACAGCTAGGAATGGCTGGCAGAACTTTCTTCAGTACAGACTCCCACAATATAGTGAGCATGACTGCAATGGATACCTATAACTACAAATGGCAATGAATGCCGTCTGGGTCCATAGGCTACACAAACACAACTTACAGCCAAAATTTATTTTGTGAAACAAAGAACTATAGCCAGAGAGAGAAGCGGTGCCCTTTTTATCCAAACATGCAGTAATCTTCAAATATCCCTGAAAACTCCTAGACACCACCACCCTAAAACAAGAGATCATGTCCTACAGTAATAACAAGACTTCCATAGACAAACATATCAGAATATTCCAAACTGCAATTCAGTACAATCTAAAAGAAATAATCAGAAACCACCACAGGGACTATTCATAGGAGTCGTCATGGCTGTCTCTAGTACCAGGAGTGGTAATTTTAGTGTGTTGCTGCTGACCCTTGTGGCAAGCTACTACATCCAAAGACTAGAGTGGTCTCTAGCTTGTACCGAGTTTCTTAGCCCCAGAATGAACCCATTTGACCTAAGAAGAACTATACAATGCTTTCTTTAACTTGTTGGAACAACAATAGTCCATTCTAGATTTAAAATCTGGCTCTTGTTTGATTCAAACCTACCTGTCAGCTTTCACATGTTACCTTTCAATTTATCCATCCTCATTACAACATCCAATATTAGTCTAGGCTCCTAAAAAAAATTCCAGAATATACCCGGTTGTTCTCCCTTTACCAAGGCTCCCACCCACAAACTCCCCAACCTTGGGCCTCCAGATGTTCTTGGACTTCAACTCCCAGAAATCCTGGCCAGCAGAGGTAGTGGTGAAGGCTTCTGGGAGTTGTAGTCCAAGAACATCTGGGGGACTCAAGGCTGGGCAACTCTGGCCTTTTAGATGTTTCTGACCCCCAACTCCCAAGCAGCAGGTGATCCTGTTTCAGCCCTTTCCTTGCCAATTCCCCTTCTCTTAACTTTTTGCACTTGGTGGAAGCTTGTTGGTGCAATAAACAACAGTGTGACATTGAAAAGAACACCTACTCCAGTATATCTCTGGGTTCTACACATATACAGCCACTTAGATGATCCCCTTCTTGCCCAGCAGACATAGCTCAACACACTGATAGTATTGCTCTGTAAATCAATATAATTGTCTTCTCCTAATTAGCAAAAACGTTTTCCATATGGTGCTGCACTGAACAAAAATTACATCATTGAAGCAACTTCCATTAGTGAGTATCCATAGCCATATGTGCTTTATAAACTAAAGCAGAATTAATTATATGATTGCCACAGGTAAGAACACGCATTTCTATTCAGACTTCTATGCTCTTGCCAACTATATCTCTAGTAATCAACATGCTTTAGCCACAAACTGTAATTACCACTTGTGTTACCAGAATTGTCTTAAAAGAATGCTTACTCTAAGTTTACAGAATACCCCCTTCAAAGATGAAGCTACCCCTGGCAATTACGAGATTACAATATTTCAACTATTTCTAAAAATATATCAAGTTTTTGTATATTTGAACATGAAATTGCTAATGCATTAAGCTACTCTTCTAAATTGAGTTTAAAAGAATTCCTTTAATTTAATAGCCTGCAAACTGAAGACTAGACCAACCAACTTTTATACATTTCTGCTTCTTTATTATGAAATCCATGGCTGATACTTTCATTATGCTTTTGCAAGAACTCATTTATTCTGTGAAGAACCTGGTATGCATAAGATATTGTCTCGTGCTCCACAGAGTTGTCACGTCCATAGGGAACATATGGGTGGGGTTTACTCCACTTGCTTCATGTCTTAGTACTGCTCAGAACATTGATCACCATTATGAAGGGAAAGCATTTTCAAACACTCAACAAGATTATTGCTTACAAAGACTCTTGTATGAACAACTCAAGTAGAAGTACTTGAGCACATTAAAGCAATAGACATAAGCAACAAACTGAAAATTAAAATACACATTCATAGAACTGATGGATAGCTCAGTGGCTTAGGCATCTGGCTGTGGAGCCAGCGGTTGGGGGTTTGATTCCCCACTGTGCCTCCTTCGTTTCTATCAGACCCTCAACATTCAGAACAGAAAACATGGAATTATAGTTATGCTTATCCAGCACGCTTTCCGTCAGATTTAGGACCAAAGCAAATGAAATATTAAAGTGAGGCAGAAATAAATTGCAGAATTAAATATAGTCAGTTACAAAAGTCTCCCAAATCTTGGTAATATAATGGAAAGGCCTAAGATATTTTTATCTATAATTACCACACTTTTTGGTTTCCTTTGACATACGGGAACACAAGTCTTTTTAACAAAAAATGTAGAAAGGTAAACATATATCCCCTCTTAGCAAAACGCTCAAGACTACTTCCCAGGATAAAACACTTGATATACTGAAAATTCACTTTAGTAGGAGGCACTGAGTAGCACCAAACAAGTTCTTGGCATGGATCCAGATACAACAAACCCATTGAAATCTGAGTTATTAGGCATGGATTTGATGGTCTACTTCCAACGTGATATGATCTGCACCTAACCTTTATGTATTTAAAT